TGGTGGTTCACTAACTGATGCCAGCTAGTGGGCGAACCTGAGTGATGAGGATGCATCATGACTCTTCGGCTAGAAACCGCGAGATCATGTGACGTTATCAGATTTGATTCAGAATCAAAAATCAGTATGAATTGTACTTCAGATTCTCTTGTTTCGTCTACTGTCCGTTTGCATTATTGTACTTAACAAAAACTCTGCGTCAAACTTGTGCTTCGCTCATGAATATTAATAGTAATAATAATAATATCTTAATAACTGTTGATGTTTGTGCTTTTCAGAGACAACCTCTTCTTAAAGTATCTACAGTGCTAACTAATCTCTACCCTTCTTGATATATTATTACACAGTGTGTATATGTGTGTGACTGTTTCTGTATGTTCCTTCACATTGTTAATATACAGTTTTACAGTTAAGTATACCTTATGTACTTTTATGTTACATGTTCACACTATGATTAGATGATTTATCCTTTTCCCTACAACTTCTAACATAATCTTTATGAGATTTGTTGAAGGACCAACAAAAGAGTGCGTCGGCTGGGGATCTAACTCCGGACCACCTGTGTGCATTCTACCGCTGTGCGACCGATAACGACAGTATAACGAAGAAAAGAGGATCAAAAACCGATAAGAAAGGTGATTACGAAAAGTCTGTGAAAATGTCTTACAAGAAAGATACATCAGGCCTGTAAAAATGCTAAGTAAAATCAAGATAGCAGGTATTTTAATTATGTCTAGGTCAATGCATCTAATTTTAGCAATAAACTAAATCAAATTAAAAGATGCAATTAGAAAAAATTAGGCAAAATAAATACATAATGTAATCTATAAAATATCTTGTCCTGAATGCCTGATTAACTATGTGGGTCATTACCTTGACACACTCGTGCTTGTCACAGGTGTTTGTGATAAATAAAATTCTCAGTTTTGCCAATTAATTCGCGATTTGTAAATTTACGCAGTCCGAGAAGGTAAAATTCCATCACAAATTTCTTCATGAACCGTAATTATTGAGATTGCAGTATGTGTAATGATCTGCCTGATACCATCTACGGTAATCAGGAAAGCAAGCATATTTGCATTAAAACTATATATATTACTGATTAATCAACAGTGAGTGGTTGCATACTACCCACATTAACCAGTAGGGCTTGTCGGCCAGCCATTTCGAAGTGGTGTAAATACCGGACTACCGTTTTGCACGTTTTGGGGTCGAACTCATCAGCTGCGCACTTGGTTCGACTCCACTCAGAGGGGCGAATCACAATTCAAATAATTCGCACATATATATCATTGATTGCTTAATAATCTATGCTGTTTAATCTCTATTTACATTTTAGGCTCAAGTGTACGCTGAAGCTCCTAGACAAAATATACACAATTTCGAGGGGACATTTGTTCGTACAGATGTAACGCCTACAACTCCAACTGATTCAGAAGCTGCAGAAGTTTCCCTAAACATTGATCATACTCTTTGGTCGAACACTGTTCTAGCTACAGGCAGCGCTGTCGGTCTGGTGATATACACAGGATCAGAGACACGTGCAGTAATGAATTCAAGTAGAGTGCGTACAAAACGTGGAAAAATCGATCAAGAAATCAATAATATCACTAAACTTCTCTTCTGTATTCTAGTTCTCCTAGCCTTAGTTATGGTTGCACTGAAAGGTTTCACTGGTTCATGGTATAAATATTGGTGGCGATTTATTGTTCTCTTTTCATATATTATTCCCTTGGCGTAAGTGTGTTGTCATTTTTATCCTGTAAAAGAAATACTTATTAACTATAATAATTTTGCGAATTTTTCTTCAAAGTCACCTTTTTTTATTGATCTGCTTTTTTTCACATACTGAGAAAACAATCGATTGGTAATGCGTAGATTGTATCAAATTTTGTTGCTTAAATTCTAATAGATAGACTATAGATAGTGTGTGTACTGTTTCTTGAGATTATTATTACTCCTTTGAAACTCAGGGCTTCAACAGCACATCTCCATTTCAACCTATTCTCTGCAGTGCCCTGTAGCTGGCTCAACGACTGCCGATGAGCTTTCATCTCCACCTCACACGATCTCTTATATGTCATCCTTGGACTCCGGCCCACTTCTTCGTTTCGCATTTGAGTTCTGTTCGATGGCCTGCTTGCCACGTGATGTCACTCAGTGGCCTCTTCAGCGTGTGTTCAGTCGATATCCAATCTCTTCGGGATGTTTGTCAGACGATACACTGCTGGTTGGTTTGTCACCAGAATTCCTTGTTGCCAATGTTTTCTGGCCATCTTCAGCCTCGCCGCCCGTAGTTGAAACGCTGCTGCCCAGATAAATGAAGGAAGTTACCGCTTTCAAATTCATTCTTTTGATAGTGACTGGTGCTAGTCTAGTTGTCGTTGGTTGTTCGGCTGGTCGTCTTCATCACCTCTGTCTTTTCTATGTTCACTTGAAGTCCTTTACTCGCTGCCTTGCTCTTCTGTCAACTTGTCGGTTTCCGCATATAAGTCTTCGAGCTTATGTAACATTGGACATAAATCACTCACACAATACCAGTCTTCTAGAGTGTTGTTATCTGTCCAACATATTCCTGTATTCTGACTCTCTCAGCAGCATCTGCCTCATAATCTAGCTCACCACAATTAGGAATATCATCGGTGATAGTGGGCAAGCAGCCTTGTCTTACTTCTGGTTTCACGTCAAAGGCTTCACTGAGAGTTTTCTGTTGTGGATCACCACATAGCGGTTGAATGTGGTTAATAAAGGTTAGGGCCACTCCACAGTGTTGAAATGGTTTCCAAGTTAAAAGTTTTCTCAAAGTCAATGAAATTAAGTTTGAAATTCGGCTCCAATTCTATTCTGTGTCCGATTATGATGTGTAGTGTTGCATTTTGATTCGCACATGATTTCTTGTTTTTGAATCTAGTTTGTTCTGGGCGGAATTCTGCATCCAGTGCATCTTTTAGTCTCTCTAGGATGACACGATTTAATATTTCTTTCGGCATGGACAGCAGCATGATTTCGCACTAGTTTTTGCAAAGACTTAAGTTGCTTTTTTTGGTAATTTGACAAGGTAACGTTTCCTCCAGTGCGTCGGTAGCACAGCGGTAGAATGCTTGCTAATAAAGCATGTGGTCTGGGGTTCTACCCCCGAACTGATTTACCTCGCTAAGTCAGTAATAAGACTGGTAAAGAGGGAAGGTTGGGCATGAGGTTAGCAACCCCATCCCGTAAAAATGAACACCACTGCTACCGAAACTTCAGGTCTCTAGCTTGAAGCCCCTATGTTCCACTGGGAACGTAAAGGAATAAAAGACCTTTCTTCCATCCTGACAAACTTTCTGTGATAGTGGCGTCAGCATGTCTACTTAGGTCTCTGAGTCCCTTTTTCGGTGCTTCCGGAGTAGTTGTGATTTCTTACTGCAGGATACTAATGGTGATAATGAACAGTTAGCTGTTGTAAAATCAATCAATCTCTATTCGATATTCATCTATGAGTTTTCATGTTAGAAAGGAAGAGGAAGAAGAAGTGTAGGATTCAGCGACGAATCTCTTTCTGGAATGTTCAATAACATAGTAGCTGAACTGAATTTTCAGTGTAGCAGTTCAGCTTGTAAACTTCATAAAAGCACACATAAAGGTGGAGAATAAATATAAATACAAAGAAATTGTAATAAACGAAAATTTACCGGTGGAAGGATGATTACCTGGAGAATAATGAGTGTTCATTAAGTGTGAGTGCATCTGTGGCATTGAAAACTATTTTGAGCTGTGTCCATAGTGTCCCGAGGACCCCTAGCCAGACAGTTTGCACCTCCTTACATGACTGGCACAAACCAACAATCAAAGACTTCATGGATTGGTGTCATGTTTTGATGGTTTAACCACCTCTAACTCTCTTCCAACCAATCCTATATCAGCTGTCACGAATAGACGAGGATGGCGCTAGCACAATACGCGTAACATGTGTCTTGGTCGATGCACCAATCGCATGTGTCAAAAGTTCATAACCTAACAACACTAGTTTCCCTTAATATTTGTTTCAAGTTTGAGCACGGATTGATTTCAGTTAGAGAACCACTAAAAGCCAACAGGGACTACTGGACGGCTGTTTCGTTTTAGTCTAGGACTTATCAACAGTACGTACCCACTGGGGCTCGAAGTCAGGACCTTCTGGTCCAAGGCAAGGTTGTAGAGCATTTAGCCACTGGGACCCAATTCAATGGTCCGTGAAATCTGACTTCTACTAATTCGTGATACACAGCGCAACCACTAGTCAATATTATAGGCGAGTAACTGTAACCAATCAAATCCCTGGAGAAATATACTTCATAGTTGATCTGATGCTCACTAACGACTGGCTGTATGTCAGAAGTTAGTTACCTGGAGTTCCGGTGAGAAGTCGTAATTGACGGGATCCGTGAAGTCAGGTAAGAGGACATTTACTCACCTATGCCATTGTCTGGCGGTTGATATATATATCGTGAATCGGCGAAAGTTGAAATTCACGGGCCATTGAGTCGGGTCCCAATGGATGAATGGTTTACGGGTTCGCTTCCTAATCGAAAGGTCCCTGTATTCGAATCCTTTTGGGCGCACACTGTTGAAGAGTCGCAAACTAGGACGAAACAGTCGACTGTCCAGTACTCCCAGGTTTACTAATGGTTCTCTAACTGATGTTATCTCGTGACCAAATTAGAATTTTGTTACTACAACTATGTGTTTATTTATTTGATATATTACGTCTAATCTACCAACATTATATTTATTTTAATTTGTACAGATTACGTGTCAACATGGATTTAGCAAAGATTGTTTACTCTTTTATGATTATGCGTGATAGAGCTTTACCAAATTGTCTTGTACGTAACACAAATATACCTGAAGAACTGGGACGTATTTGTTATTTAATGTCAGATAAAACTGGTACACTAACACAGAATGAAATGGTTTTTAAGAAATTACACTTAGGCAGTGTAGCCTTTGCACCAGATTCTATGGAAGAAGTTATACAGGGTTTACGTAGTCATTTTACTACTGGTCCTGGGATTTCATCATCATCAACAGTTCGACGTACAACGAATGAACGTATGGCTGATGCTGTATTAGCTATAGCTATATGTCATAATGTTACACCAATGAATGAGAATTATTCACCTCCAGGTGGAATCGATATCACAGATGGAGATAAAGGAGCTATGGAAATGGTAAGTATTCGTATTTGTCTTCTTTTTTTTTGTTTAATGTTTTATTGATGTAAGTTAAGTGATTATTTGATTGTGTTCACCCATTTAGGCTGATATCACTCTCTCCCCAAGCATGTGTGGAGTATACTCTTCTATTGAGGAAATACCATTCCATCGTAACTTTCTGGCTATAATCCTGTTATTTATTTTGTTTTCTTTTAAAAGCTATAGATTTTGTTAGATGGTTGAAGGTAATCGTCAGGACACTTTGCCTGACCTAGGTTTCGTGCCTGTTGGTACTCACCATTCATCAAGGCCTATCTGCGAACGTAAAGGAACTCATATCTCCTTTGGGATTCAAACTTGGGTTACCTCAGTAATGCAGCCAGGGGGGCGTCACTTCTGAGCTATTCGGGCTCGTGATTGACCTCCTGTAGGACTGCAATGTATACTTTGATTAGACACTAGGCGCAGTAACCAATGTCATGCGTCGTCTAGTCTCATTGGTTTGGAACAAATTGAATTCTATTTCACAGGCTCTCATCAATTGCTGCAAACTACCTGAAATTACAATGGTTATAAATAATAACATTTCATACTTCAATGTCTGAAAGGTAATAGTGAAAACATTATAAGATGAACGCAGAATATAAGTATCACAATTATTTTTAGTTTAAGTTACCATCAATTTATATACTATCAAACTATGAAAAAAAGTGGGGGATGGGTGAGAGAAGACAAAAAACAGAAAAATCTAATAAACAGTGTTAGCTTGTACGTCAACATGGCAACTCAAGAAGGTTAAAGTTCATCAAATTGAAAACTTGCTTAGTGAGCTGAGCTCACTAGTGTGTGTGGCTAATCAGTGTAATGAGAGTAATACGGTTACCAAGGGAGTGAGAGATTGACTACACTCTCTCTTTATGTGTGCATAAGTTTGGTCTGAGATAGTATATAAATTAGTGGTAACTTAAACTAAAAATAACTGTGATACTTATATTCCGGATGTGTTCATCTTATAATTTTTCTTCATTACCTTCCAAACATTGAAGTATGAAATGTTATTATTTATAACCATTGTAATTTCAGGTAGTTTGTAGCTGATGAGAACCTGTGAAATAGAATGATGATATCATTTTATACTGCAAATCTGGTCTTTCTTTCTCTATCGAAATTTATCAAGGGAACCAAATGTATGAAATGGAATTCTCTTAGTCAGGTGTGCAGTATGTGCGGGGCCACCATGCTAGGTGGTTCACTGTCACAATGTTCTCTGAAATGTTGTTAGATGATTTGAGTCAATCAGCAGGAAGTCTAGGACCTAGGTTTCGTACTTGTTGGCACCCAGCAGTCATCAAGGTGTATCCACAGTCTTGAAGGAACTTATGTCTGTTTTGAAATTGACAGACTTTGTCTTTTTGTTTTTTCTAAAGTTTAGATTCAATGCTTTACTACTTAGTTATATTCTACTAAAGTGAGGTGATTTTATATTACACAGCCTTAACGTGCTTAGAGTGTCAGATGTTTAGAGGGAACTGAGATCGCCATATATGTAAGTATCATCCTCCCTCAAACGTGTCAGAAGGACTTGTTTACAATTTTGGTCAAGTCTCATACTCTATATCTTGAAATTTATCTAATCGTCCATCTGTGTACAATTGGGAAGTCATTGCGAAGCTGTTCACAAGGATTACTGGAACAATTTATACAATAATGGCTACATATTTTGAACCTTCATAGGCTTATCTTAATGTTCTCTATTTAGATATACTCAACTGTGATGTTATTTATTATTTCCCTCATTTGATCACACCATCAGGTAGAACTTTCTGATCCAGTTGGCTATCAGGCTAGTTCACCAGATGAGATTGCACTTGTCTCATGGACAGCAACTGTTGGCGTGACACTTGTATTCCGTGATTTACACAGAATGCGTTTACGTCTTCCAAATGGTATGTTAATTTTTTTTCTCTCCTCACTTTTCATTTATTATTCGCTAACTTGTTTATTATTTTTTCAATATACGAATTTTTGTGTTTTGTTTTTATTGATGCACAATGTGTGTGTGTTATCCCTCTGGATTCCGAATTAAAACTGTCCCCCTACCTCTAAACTCACTATTCTGTAATGGTACACTAAGCCGATAAATTTGGAAGAAAAGAACAAGAAACTCAGAAAAGATAAATTATCGTTTCGGCGATTTCATTCTCAATAGTAGCTGTAAAATCGCATTTTTATACATGTGTCCACATAGCTACAGTTACTACTTAAATTGGACATATTAATGAATGGAGGAGGGGGGCTTTAAAGGAGGTAGTAATTTTCAACCTGATATGAAAGTTTGAAGGTGGGAATATAGAGATTTCAAGAGGTTTTAAAACAAAACCACACATGATTTTAAAAGTAGACGCGCAGTTTGTAAAGTGGTGTTCAACAAAGACAAATATGAATGGAATTCAAATTGAAATAATATTTTTTTATGATTGGAAATGAAAAAAAGACAACTAAGGAGTCAAACAGAACTAGATCCATGGTGTAAATGTAGAGATTCGACTGGTTCCTTTCGAACACTTAGTTCCAGCTTTTCAATGTATTTGGCAAGAACTTCTGCAGTACAGAAGAAGTTGAAAACACACTGCATTTGGTATATTTTTGTCCACTTTTTAAATGTTATGGCAGGTGCCGACGATTTGTTCAGTTAGAGCGTTTCTGGTTGAACCAGTGCCACCTGTTTGCAGCATATTCTGTGAGTAGTGTTCTCTAACACGTTTTGAAAGGTCCCGCATAAAACAACCTAGCTTCAGAGGAGCGGGTGAATTGATATATACACATTAGAGTGGTCATATGTGGGTGTTTGTTTTTCGAGTAGCTTAGAAAAAGTGTTGTTGAAGGAGAGGTATTTACTTTAGGGAACTAGAGATTCTCCTCTTTAGGTGGGATATCTGCTGCTAAGTCCTCCCTGAAGTCGGGGTTCATATACAGTATTTTCTTTAGTTTGGCAGTAAACTGCATTCATCCTTTTTTGGCTTTGTTTTTGTATTCTTCTCTAAAACCCGTTCCGGGTATCCATTTTCAGCCAAGAAAAGTAAGAGGTCTTCTTCTTCTAAGCAGCCGGTGTTTCGGATTCTTCTGATACCTCTGGCATACAAAAAAAAGAAAGAAGACAAAGTTCAAAGACAAAGAGGGTTCAATTAGAATGATAGATCCTTCAGAATAAAATACTCCAGTGATACTAGACAATTACAAATACTAATTCGTCACACTGTGTTGTGTCTCCCTTATCAGTTGTTTTTGTCCTCTAAGTGGGTGGGCATTTTCTACGGAAAAGGCATAAAAGCATTCTCGTATCATATACTCAAGACATCTTTCAAATTTAAGTTATTTATTTATATTTATTTAAACGCAGAAAAACCTTGATACAATATGGCACCAAGAAAGATGCGCCACACAATAATAATAAAACAACATAGATTAAAAGTAAAAATATAAGTAGAAAACGGATAAAGAACTTCATCAGGAAGGAAAAGTCATGTTTAACAAGTTCAAACAGTATTCGTTAACTATCATCAGGAAGGGAAGAAAGAAGGAAATTGCAACACGTTCGCCATTGATTACGATTCTTGGCCATATCCGATAACGTTTCGAGCCATCGATTCGAGCTATCTCGCGGACCCCAACCAGGGAGTCGTGATGCACCAACCGATGCTAATCTAGCACAAAAATCCTTCATCCCACGACGCCACGTCATGGACTGACCACCCCTCCGCCTTTTCCATCCCGTCTCAGGGCTAGCGAACAGAGACCTGTACGGAAGCCTCTGGGATGACATTCGCAGCACATGTCCAAGCCACTGGAGCCGGTGTTTCCAGATGACGACACTCAATGAGTGGTGATCTCCACTGTGTTCAAACACACGCCGCCGAACCTCAGAATTACTCACGCGATGATGCTATCGAACGCAAGCAATCCTGCGGAGACAACGATGATCGAACACGCAGAGTCGCCGCACATCCTCAGCTCGGAGAGGCCAGGTTTCACAGGCGTAGAGCAGCGCAGCCCGCACCGAAGCATTGTATACCCGACCTTTGACAGCCAGGCTAACGTCGCAACGGCGCCAGAGGTGGCTCAAGTTGATGTATGCCACCCTAGCCTTCATTATACGGTTGGAAATCTCATCCGTCACCCCTCCGCCAGCACTCACACAACTACCCAGATACACAAACTTATCAACAACTTCAAGCGGTTCACCCGCAAGAGTGAGTGCAGGTACAGGCTCCTGTCAATCTTGTAACAGTACTTTGCACTTAGACGGTGCAAAGCACATACCATACTTACAGACACTGATCACCAACTGATTAAGTGCGATTTGGGCAGCCTGCATGCTATCGCACAGTAAGACGATATCGTCTGCATACTCGAGGTCGAAAAGTCTATCTCCAGGTAGCAGATCTACACCACCTTCACGCACATCTTTCAGAGCTGACTCCAGAATGTCATCGATGGCAAAGTTAAAGAGAAATGGAGATTTACGTGTGATATGATTTATTTTATTTTCAATAATTCTACCTTGTTCTTGATTGTTTATTCATGAATAATTATTTTCCTCTTTTTTACCCTCTTTTGGTATCTTCAGGCTCTATTGTCGAATATGAAATATTGAATTTATTCCCATTTTCTTCGGAATCTAAACGTATGGGCATTATTGTTCGTGATTATTCGTCAAAAAGGATAATATTCTATGTGAAAGGCGCTGATACAGTTATGAGTAATCTGGTCTCCTATGTTGATTGGTTAGACGATGAAGCTGGTAATTTAGCTAGAGAAGGTTTACGTACATTGGTTGTCGCCTCACGTGTTCTAACAGAGGAACAATACAATGATTTTTCGAAACGGTAAATTATTTTATGTCTATTTATTGATGGTAAAAAATTTCCGACTGAAGATTGTCAGTGATGTCGATTATTGTTATTATTATTCCCTTGGGTTCTGAGTGGAACGTGTGGAGGAGGCTTCAACAGCACATCACCATTCCATCCTGTTTTCTGCAGTCCTTTTTATCTGGCTGCATGATTACCCATTAGCTTTCATCTCCTCCTTCTCCTCTGTTTCCTTCATATCACTCTTGGATGCGCACCTCGTCATTTCCCATTTGGGTTTTACTCAAAGGACTGCTCGCCATGTGGCGTCACTCAACGGTCTGATCACAAATGTTGGTTGACTTTGTACAAATTCTAGTTTGAATGTATGTGGAGTAATCGATACTGTTAACTGCAATTCTGCTTAATTACTTCACGCCTCTTTCTTCAATTCTCAGGATCTATCAAATTTGTTCATCATTGTAATTCTGAGTAACATTAGAATGTGTTTTGCCAGTGCATATGTATAACTTGAGACCTTGTGGTATTATAATGTAATTCCATATTAGTTTTGTTTATTGGTATGGATAACGCAGTGGAATAGCATCATTTACTTGGATGCAACTTGCTGTAGACTCGGTATTATTTAGTGGTTTTCTCCCATCATTAACCCTACTTCCAACGAAATGGGACTGAGATGAACCGACATCCAAGTGACGACTTGTATGTGTGTGCGTGCATTCTCCAACGCTAACTGACTTCAGCGACGTAGTCTTGTTGACTTAGAAATGGCGGATGAAGATGTTGAAAAAATTCAGAGTCTTCTGAGTATCTTGAGAAGAAATCTTCGGATGTTTGGCATACCATTTGCTCTTGTTGAATGTAAGATGATGTCATAAGACTTGACTGTTTTGGCCCCTAGCTTAAAGATACACAGGAGCTAAGTGGTAGAGCGTGTTGACCACTACACTTATTTGGAAATTTGCATCAGACCCAGAGGCTTGATTGGTGATGAAGTCTCATCACGGATACGAAGGGCTCATTTAGCATCTGTCAACTGATGTTGTCTCTAGCGTAGACGTGATATTCGTCTATCGATCGTAGAATATGCGTACTGTGCGCCATTTCTCTCCGTCCTTCTCTGTAGCTATAATTCATATGGCCATTGAAGGTGGAAGAGGTGAAAAGGCCAACTGCCTTCCATCACAGGTGTCTGCTTTGTGTCTCCCATGTTAAGTGGTATGATAGAGGGGAGTAATATTGAGGTTAAGCGTCGAATGTTAGGTGAGGAGGGGAAATCAATCCACGAGGCTGTAAGTTACACCGATTGAGATGGCTGGGAAAAGTGTTACGCATTCCTAGCCATCACCTTCATCGACAGTGGGCAATGTTAGCTGACATAGGATCAGGTTGGAAAAGAAGTTAGCCAGTAGTGGTCAAATGGAAACATAAAACAGTCCATAAAGTCTTTGACAGTTAGTTTGAGCCAGCCACGAACGGGGGTGTAGACTTCCTGATTGCGATCCTCGGGATGATAAGAATCAATGACTAGAGAAAAGTGGTGATATGGCTGAAAATCGTTCTCAATGACTCAGATGCACTCACTCTGAGTAATCTGTCATATCCCATTGTTTTTCCATGTTATTAATATTTCTTCCTCATAATTTTGTATGGTATTGTTCTTTCAAATATCTTTTTCTCTCTTGTGTTCTACATGGAGTGTGTCAAGTTAAACTGCTGCCCTTCTATGCAAAGTTCTGTGCTGCAGCCAATTAGTCAGTTAGACAGAAGGTTTTCTGTTCCCCTGTGAGATTGGTACTTAGTCTGTATGACAGTAATCCTTTTTCTGTTTTGATTTCATTCGTTGTATGTCAGTCTCTTGAATACTTTTGTTGATATGATAAAGAATATGTGCTGCTGGAGAAATTGCACTGTTGGGGTAGTAGTATTCGTAAGACAGAAAGAGTTACTTTGAAATGACAATATGTAATTTAAAATTGATTTTTAACTCGTGGTAATATACACATACTTTGCTGACGAAGTTAGCTTTTTAGACATATGATTTTACTATCCCCCCTCCCCCTCCCCCCAGAGATTTCTTTGGTCTTTACGGGTTTACGTCACTGTTCAATTCCAGTGCTTAATTATCACTTCATCATAGCATGTTTGTTCTCTGTTCCATGAATAAAAAAAGATTTTTAATTGCATCTATTTCACATTACAATAGTTAGTGTGAAGAACAAAAGACCAGTGAAGCTCGAAGACAGTGTTTATTAGGACAAATGCATTGAATTTGGTACATAAATTTGGTATACCTTATCTTTAAGTCTTTATTTGCACATCATTTGCAAATTGGTCGAATATCACCACATTCGATAGCTTGTTGGATTATGCACAGTGTTTCTAACGTTCTTCTCATAGTTCTCTCTTCTTCGATTGCTTTTTCCAGTGCCCCAAAACGTATTGTTACTTTTCTGAATTCGTTTACTGATATATTACTTATATATCTGATTATAAGTAGAACTTACCACAGTAGTATTTTCAAGTGTATAATGTGATGAAAATTATTAACTGCTGTCAATAATAAATGTATAATGGACATCATTTTTGAAGAGAGAAATTATTATCATTATTATTATTATTGTAACCTTTAATTCCTAGAGGAACATAGGGCTTCAGCCATGCGTCTCCATTGCGTTCGGTTCTCTGCTAGAGTTTTCACCTGGCTCCAGGTCTGCCCACACGTTTTCATCTCCTCTTCACATGACCTCCTCCAAGTCACCCTTGTACTGACGACCAACTCGCCGCTTCCCTTTCGGGTTCCACTCGAGCAATGGCTTGTCTAGTGATGTCACTTGATGGTTTCCTCAGTGAAATACACACGTCAAAATAGCATAGAATGTTGTCCTGTACACTTTTGTATTCTCTTTGACTCACAATATTCTGTATTTAGTCAGCCCGGAAATGATGTATCAAGGTAACCCGCAAGTGAAAGATGAAAACGGGAGAACGAGGAGAATAAAATGTGTTATGTCAGGAGGAGTAGTGGTGGTGATGTAGTTACTCTTCTTAAGCTGGAGGATTTAATTGAGAAACTCTCATTGTCCTTCTGAACAACATCGGTCCAGCGCAAACTTCAATAATATGAAGTGAACTTATTTGAATTCTATTATTATTATTATTATTAGGTTCCTAGTGGAACATAGGGCTTCAACTACACTTCTCCACTTGCTTCTGTCTTCTGCTGTACTTTTCACCTGCATCCATGTTAATCCATACTGTTTCAACTCCTCTTCACACGATCTCCTCCATGTCACCCTTGAACATCCCACTCGCCGCTTCCCTTTCGGGTTCCACTCGAGCACTGGCCTGACGCGCGATGTCACCCAGCGGCCTCCTCAGCGAGTGTCCAATCCATCTTCACTTTCTCCTGCATATTTGTTGGGCGATTGGTTCTTGTTTTGTTTGTTCCCATAGTTTCTTGTTGGTGATTCTTTCGGGCCATCTGATCTTCAGTATAGAACGAAGACAGTTGTTGATAAAGGTCTGCAACAGGCTGTTGGAAATATTCTTTGTGACACACTGGCCAAGTTTCTGATCCGTATAGAAGAACTGACTGACTTGACGTTTGTATTGAAAATCCGAATCACTTTGTTGTTGATGCAGGCTGAGTGACGAGGATTTCCAGATTGGTTTCAGGTTGATGAATGTGTTTCTCGCCTTCCCGATTCTCGATTTGACATCCTCGTCCGTTCCTCCTGTAGTTGAGACAATGCTGCCTAGATAAGTGAATGAAGTGACCTCTTTCAAATCCCTCCCGTTGATGGTGATTGGCTCTGGATGTTTTTGCTGTTGTTGTTGCTGGTTGGTTGTTTTCATAACCTCCGTCTTGTCTATGTTCACCTGGAGTCCTGTCTTTTCTGCTTCTTCGACCGGTTTGTCGGTTTTCACTTGTAGTACTTCGATTTTGTGTGACGTCAAGCATAAATCATCCGCGAAATCCAGGTCTTCTAGGTTCTTCACGCCTCGCCTAGATTACTAGCTCGCTAGTTTTCTAGCCGGTCCCAAGCCCGGATAAAGAGGGAGGGTTGGGGCGTTGTGTTAGCAATTCCACTCCCAAAACTTAACCAAATTGCTACAGAAACTTCAACGCATAAATATATTTGAATTCTACATATATGATAATATGTTTGTATCTCCTGACAATCTTTTTCGTGATTGGTTGTGCATTTGCATTAGTATTGGATCGTTTTTATCGATCAAAGTGGGCGTTCCCTTCGATTCCGAGTCCACAGACACAAAATAGCTGTTAAAAGATAACACGACATGTATTTTTTCTTATATCGATGCATGTAGACAAGCACGGACACCAGTTTAATTGAGAAAATGTAAACATTTCAAACCGTGGAAACAAAAACTGTACCAGTGAATTCCTAGAAGCCTAATACTTAGACGGATTTTCAACTCGAATGTCAAGTCATTGCAACTTATTATACGGATCAGAGACTTGATGCGTTACGAACGTCACTTCTAACAAACTACAGACCTTCATCAATACTATTCAAGATCAGATGGCCAGAGAAGATCAGCAATAGTGAGGGATCTCTGGGACCGAACCAATTGTGCAACAAATAAGCAGGAAGAAATGGAGGTGGATTGGCTGGCCATACTCTGAGAAAACAAACCCTCATCAAGTGACATCCATAACACGCCAGGCCATCGCCCGAGTGAAACCGAAATAAGAAGTGGCGAGTTGGTTGTCAGTGAGAGGGTGACATGGGGGGAGGTGATGCAAAGAGGCGATGAAAAAATGTGGGCAGACGTGGAGCCAGGTGAAAACGTTGGCAGAGAACCGAACGCAATGAAGACGTGTGGCTGAAGCTCTCTGTTCCTCTAGGAATTAAAGGAAACAATAATAATAATGATACTCATACAAGTTAACAACTAATCACAACACATGTTGTTAGGATCTACGATCATATGATTATTTATTCATGGTGAGTCGAAACGAGTTTACTGCATATTGAAGTTTGCACTGAAGCAATGTTGTCTAGATGGACAGTGAAAAGCCTTACAATTTAACCACTCACACACACGGACGAGAAGACCTATTCCATTATATTTCATATGATTCATTCTAACAGTTACAGAAACTATTTCAATTAGGTGCCGTTTATTTGTTTGCTCTAATCACCTTCAAATGTATTCAATTTAAACAAAAGAAAGTATTATCACTACTATAGTTACCAGGGCATATTGAAATGGTAAATAGACACTTATGGTATGTGTATACATACTATGGTTGATTTCTATTTCAGAGATACCGTGTATCCCTAGCAGTACACTTCTCATTCGATTGACTTTCGCATCCCGAGAGAAGTACTTTAGAATCATTAAAAATAATGGAACTGTATACCACACTTCAACTCTTTCCTGTACTACAGTCATATAACAACAATATGACTAGACTTGATACACTTCATAAGGTGAAAAAGCAAACATGCTTTTTAAGCTTTTCAACACATTATTATTATTATTATTATTACTATTATTGTGCTCAAAAGAAGAAGAATGTCTATTGATCACCGAGTATAGTATTTCTATGGTGTTGATTTTCTTTAGTATTTTTTTTCTTCTTCTTCTTTAAACTGCTTGTCTGTTTATGTATACACGTGATCTTATTGATATACTCACGGGTTGTGTTGCCTTCTTTGCGAATCTCTGTGTGGGTGTGTGCGTGTATGTGTGCGTGTATGTGTGTGGGTGTGTGTTTGCGTGGATTCGTTCACATATGATTCATGTGCTTTTGAGAGGAGTTACTTTTCTCTTTATGTTCTAATAGCAATAAGTAGCAATAGTGGTTATGTAATTGGCATTGATCAGTAAGTGAAACCCTAGAGATTTAAATAAAAGAATAACTCTTCCCTTTAGTAGACTTATATCATTTCATGCATTATGTATTATCCAGACAACCTACCGAGATATAATGCCTTGTTCTTTCTAACTGAAAACTAAGTAGAATCCATATACAGTTTCTGTTTAACTTCATCATAGATATGCTAATGGAAGTATCCTTAACTGAACTTAACGACTTAGGAATCGACTTGCTACCAGGGAATAGTCTTATGGACTTAGAATACGCAGACGACATAGTCCTGTTAGGGGAGGATGCTGACAAAGTGCAGAGTCTTCTGAACACCTTGACCAGCAATCTTTGTATGTTTTGCATGCGATTCGCCCCTGTAAAATGTAAGATGGTGCTACAGGACTGGACTACGTCAACTCCTAGCTTAGTGATAGGGAGTGAAGTGATAGAACATGTTGACCACTTCACTTATCGGGGTAGTTGTATCAGCACCAATGGATTGATTGGTGGCGAAATCTCAGCACGGATCCAAAAAGCTCGGGCTGCTTTCGCTAACTTACACCGTCTCTGGCGTAGGCGTGACATCCGGCTGTCAACCAAGGGACGTGTGTACTGCTCAGCAGTTCGCTCTGTCCTTCTCTATGGCTCTGAAACATGGCCGATACGAGTTGAAGACATGGCCTCATCGATCCATGAAATCTCTGACAGTTAAACTGAGTCAGGTAGGGAGATGCAGACTTCCGGGTTGGGGCCTGCCCTCGGGACTCTAAGAATCAATGGCTGGAGACAATAGATGATATGGCTCAAAATCGTTGTCAATGGCTTAGCAGATGTATTCAGTCTCTGTAATCTTTCATATTCCTTTCTACCATTACTCATTCTGTTTCACTCTTATACTTGTCAAAACTCAATTGATTCTCTTCACTCATTTTCTGGTCTACCTTTGTGTGCTGTTTGGAACGTGGCAACTGGAACTGCTGCACTTCGGTGCCAAGTTCTATGTTGAATCCAGACAGACATATTCAGTGGTGTGCGTCAGTGGTTCATTGGTAGGATTGGTTGTCAGCCACTTATGTCGGTCGGGTTCGATTCCCGACGGATGCACACCTCAACTTTACCTAACCTGTAGGTAATAAGCCTTGAGAAAAGGGAGTGTTTGTTGGGCATAAAATAGCAGCTTACACCCTGTAAATACAATATCACTATCGCCGTAATTGTAAAGGTTGAAACCCTGTCTATGTTCCTGTAGAGAAACTCAAAAGAATGAAAAAAAAGACATTCAGTAGTATTTTGATTGAACAATAGTTAGTTAATCGTATATCGTATATCTAGTCGTTTGTACGATGCAGACTGAATTCTATCAGTCAAGTTTGCAATTTGGTCATCATATCACTAGGTGGCTCGCCATTGTTGATATTAGATAGTTGGAGGCAATCGGCAAGAAGCCTTGCTCGACCTAGGTTTCGTGCTAGTTGTCACTCGTTAGTAAGGCATATCTGCAATTTTGTAGGAACTCATATCCCTTCTGAGATTCGGAACCGTGTCATCCGGTTCTTCACAGGGAGATAGAGAGGTTACGGCCGAATTATTCAGACTTGTGGTTGTCCTCTTGCACCGAACAAAGAACTAGATACAGAGCAGTAGTTACTAAGTGAAACTATGCAATACAGTCCTACAGGAGTTCAATTGCGAGCCCAAATAACTGAGCAGTAATGTCTCTGACTGCAGAACTAGATGATGCCATCTTGAATCTTAGGAGGAACATGGGTTCCTTCAAGATTGCAGCAGATACGCCTTGCTGACTGGTGAGTGCCGGCAAGGATGAAACCTAAGTCAGACAGGGCTTCCTGTCGATTGCCTCGAAACAATCTAATAATGACATACAATTGTACCTGGTTTCCAACTACATGGCAATGCAAATATAATTAATTTTGTTCGCTTATTTTTTAGACTTTCCTACTTTTCATGGTACATGTAGTTAGGAGTACTGATTTCCAGTGCACTAAACACTTCAACTCATTTAGCTCTTCGTTGATCGAGCACTACTTTACCGTGCTATATTAACCTTTGTTTCAGGGTATTCGCAAACATATCATTGGTATAATAGTCAAAATCGTCCCATATGGCGACATTGAGTTCTAAGTCATTGACTCACTGGTGTGATGTGCTTGCCTTGTGACTCGAGGGTCCTTGGTTCGATCTCTAGTGGGTTCCATGCATACTCACTTCCTAGATTAGGATGAGTAAGTCATTCAGCGCTCCTGGGTTCACGAGGACTTTCTAACTAATGTTGATTTATAGCAGTTTTGATTACTAGACAGTTGTTTCGTCCCAGCTTGCGACTCTTCATCAGTACAAACTCAGAATCTTCCATATACAAGGCAAGCTCGTGGACCATTTAGCCACTGAAACCTGGTCCAATGGCCCACAAATTCCAACTTCTGCCAGTCATCCTTTCATTGCCGGAGTTCCTCGATGTGCATGTTATCTGACATAGGATCAAGTTGGAAAATAGATAGTGGTGATCAAACCCAAAATTTGGAAGCGGTTCATGAAATATATAGCGCAGCCACCAAACAATGTCGTAGGCGAGTAGCTATTCTCATATAAGACTTGGTGAACTCCGCTGGTTAGTCTGATGCTCACTAGCGACTAGCTGTATGCAGGAAGTTACCTGGAGTTCTAGTGAGAAGTCGTGATCAGTATGGTCCACCTGGTCGGGAGTGAGGGCAAATACTCGCTGAAGACATTTGCTAGTGGTTGAGTTAAAATCACGAATCGGTAGAAGTTGGAATTCATCGGCTGGTCAGTGGATTGAGTCTCAGCGGCTGAATGGTCTATGAGCTCACCTTGTAACCAGAGGGTCCTGGGTTCCAACCCTTATGGGTTTGTACTTCTGAAGAGCCGCAAACTATGACAAAACAGCCATCCAGTACTCTGTGGTTTTCCAGTGGTTCTCTAACTGATTTCAGTTCGTGAGTGAACCTGTAGCCAAACCAACACGTGATATTATTGATTCATGACGAAACATATACTTAAAAATCAATCAAATCATTACAGACGTAACATTTTGAAAGGTATTTAGCCAAACGACACTGTAGAACCTGAAAACTTCTGGCAATATGATATCCAATTCCACTAGTTATGCTGTAACTTAAACGGCATTAACCCAGATCTTCCCGGGTTTGATTCAATATTGAGTTGTAAGTGTGCATCAATGATGAGTGCTCATATTTTCCAAAGATTTTCTGGGGATGATAAAAGTGTGGAGTAATTTTCTCGAAGATATTCCTATTTGTAGAATCCCACTTTTACTTGTTTTTGTTTTCCTATTTTCAGATATCATATTGCAAAAATGTCTTTAACTGATCGTGTCGAGAAAATGCAATCAGTTGTAGCCACTTTAGAAACAGATTTAGAAGTTCTCTGTTTAACTGGTGTTGAGGAAAGACTTCAAGATGGAGTAAGTTTAGACCATATGTATTATTATAAATAGTAGTAGTAACAATAATAATAATCATTAATCCCAAGGGTTCCGAGTGGAATATAGAACTCTTTAACAGCACGTCTCCATTCCAACCTGTTCTATACAGTTCTATCTAGCTGGTGGCTCCACGACTGCCTATGATCTCTCACCTCGTCCTTGTCACTCTTGGACGCCCAAGTTATTGTTTTTTTTTTTTTCTGTTCGGGCTCCACTTGAACTCAACGGTCTTCTCAGAATGTATCCAAAGCATCTCCGTTTCTTTCTGCGTATTTGTTGGACTATAAGTTCTTGATTGTTTCGTTGCCAGAGTTCATTGACGGGTGATATTAGCTGACATAGGATCAAGTTGAAAAATAGATAGTGGTGATCAAACCAAAAACTTGGAAACGGTTTTCATGAAATCTTTGACAGTTAGTCTGAGGCATATATGGAGGTGTAAGCTTCCTGGTTGGGTTCCTTGTGAATTTAAGAAGCAATTGCTGGAAACTATGTGTGATATGACTCAAAATCTTTGTTATTAGCGAAAATGCATTCACCTTTTGTGATCTCCTATATATATGTTAAACCATAATCGGCACATTTCTGCTAATAATTTTTCTTTTAAATCCCCTTTTCTACCTTTCTTCTGTCTTCCTTAGTGTGGTACATGAAGTGTGTCAAATTGGACTGGTGCACTTCTGTGACGCTTTAACCTATACTGACCTTAAATCAACATGCCATTCAGGATATTCTTGGAAATCTTATTCCTTACTTTAGCTATTCCCTTTTCCCGTGAAAAGTCTCTTGCAATGGGAGACGTCACTATTATAACGTTTTACAGCGTATAATAATTACACACAGAGAATGTTTTCTTGCCTATTAATGTGAGTAGCATAGAACTACTCGTATTCATTCTTCTTTCCTCCTTCGGCTAGCCAGGCTTGACGGTGTTCCAGTGTATGTTCATGGATATTTGACTGTGACTACTGTTTCATTGCGAGTCTTGAAAACGACATCTTCGATGGTTCGGATCTGATCAGTCAATTGCACATCTACAAAAGATATGTAGGATGATACTTTTATAATTTGTGGATAATTTCCTTGACGCCTATAACGCGACACACCCTTCGATAAAATTTACTTTAAAGCGAGAATCGAACCTGTCCTTTCCATTTCTGCGTGTGCATCCCCCTAGACAATTCGATTCACACATTCGTATGATGGAAACCAATATGGACTAGACAGTTTACTAACTTCTA